TTGCTCCTCGAGGCCCTATTGGTCCATGTTTTCCAGGAGGTCCCTCTGGACCGGGTCTTCCCCGAGTTCCAGGTCTTCCCCGTCGTCCTCGGCTTCCTTTTGGTCCTGATCGACAGAGCGTTTCATCTTTGGCACAAACTTGGTTCTGCAGCAGTCGAAGTTCTTCCTTGATCAGCAGTTTTACATCAGCAGCTGTTTGGACTGACTTTTGCTGGGAATTAGTTGGTGATGAACGCTTCAGTCTTGAAATGTTCTCGGGATCACCTTGTAAACACATTTAAAGATACTCGCTTAAAATCGTTCACATCCATTATCGGTGACACTATATATGCTCACATGAAAGCGTGACGTGCAAAAGAGGAGTCCACTGGGCTGTGAGTCCCCTACTCACATTGAAATTAAAAGAATTACATAATTTTTACTCCGACAACTAGAGAAAGTATAACAGGAAGGATGTTGTTCAATTGCTAACAGTTCTGTGTTTAATATGGAACTGACAGGCCTAAAGAAATATTTTTAATAACCCGGAAATCGGCTTAACCTGGGGCCGGTGGTATCAACTAATTTGCCTGCCATGTAAGAAGGATAAAACGGGTTAACCAAACGTTGAAAAGCAGCCGTTATTTTCAAAAATAAAAGGAGAATCTTTTCTCGATTGTTTTCAAGGTTAATGAAATATACTCTACTAAGCTGCTACGTGCTTGATATATTTTGTGTTTAGGAGCTGTTCTGCCAGAGGATCACGATACTTGTAATTGTATTACCGTAAACTAAACTATTAGTCAGTTTAAATTGTGTAACAAGAAGGATGTCAACGTTAATTAAGTCAACGTGTTGTCCAGAGTGTCTTTAACATTTCTCTGCGTTAAATATGTATAGAAAGAAAGAATGGAATTGATAGACCAAATTGTATATTGTAATAACCCGGAAATATACCTGCCAAGGAGGACAAAAGGTTAACCTAACTTTGGCAAACAGCCATTCCTAAAAATAAACAAAGGATCTTTCCTCGTGTTTGATATATTTTTGTATTACCAGAGGCGATATATCAATTCTTGTATACTGACAGTTAACTAAACTATTGGTCACTAGTTCGAATTCGGCTTGGAGGGTTGTCGAGGGAGGTGGGGGGATACTTGTGCCGCGGATTAAAACCTTTTTTAAATGTATTAGGCAAATAAGCTTTTAAAATTTTGAGGTACTGAGATTTTAAGCACCAAACTAAAGAACCACGTGCAACACAGAATCCCCTATTCAAGAACTTATCGAGCACCTCCAAAGCCATATCCTATCCCACAGTAGCCTGCGTAGCTGGCGGTATTGTGTGGGTGCGAGATTAAAGTGTTGGCGGCGGAGCCGTGTTCCAAAAAAAGGGAGTAGGGACGAGGCGGTTGAAATATTGGTTGGTATTTCTCGCAGCTTCGCCGTTCGTGACGGCTCCGCCGTCAAATCTCACTCGAATATATTACAACGGCTCCGCCGCCAAATCTCACTCGACTACTACAAAAGCAATACCGCCAGCTACGCAGGCTAATCCCACAGCACTTTTAGTATATAGTCCGAATGAGGGAGTACTCCTCTAGTCGACTCAGGTGTTTAAAGATGATTACCTCACCTTGTGCCTCGTGCCAAGTACCCTCTGAGTTCCTGTCTTTATTTATTTGCCATCTTTCGTAATTCTCTTGTACTTCCTGAAGGACTTCTTTCTTCATCTGGTCACAGAATGTTGCTGACTGTGATATCACTCGATGATGTTCTTGAAGTCTGAGTTCCACGTGAATTAGTGCGATACAACATACAACAGACAGTAGAAAGCCTGAAGAGCAACAGAAGCTGTTGAATTTTGTTTCTCTGTTTGCCTTTTTGTGTTCTTTGCTTTGTGCTTTCATCGCTTAACTCCAATCGTGGGGACGAACCCCCTCAAATTTTGAATCTTAAGTAAGTGCGTGAACGTGAATACTTAGTAACAAAGAAACAAATCAGTGACTAGTGACAGTCGTCATCACATAACTAGTTTTAAGAATATAAGAACTGAAAAGAAGCGATTCATCGCTACAGGAAGTAAATACTACTTCTTAATCTTAACTGATGTCACTGGCGCTTGAGCATGAGGGGAAGTAACATTCAATTACAACGTTTACAAAGAAAACTGAGATGTTGTTGACGTTACTGCTTCCTGGGAGCAAAAGGGTGACCACGTGACCTGAAAGAGTTATTGAGTTTCACAAACAGTTTAGAGGAGAACTGTTTGTCCTGTTTTATAAGAGCTGCTGCGAAAAGCAAAAATATCCTAAGCAATCTCAGCAAGCAACTATGTTTTACGTATGCACTCATGTTTCATATAAGCGGAATCTCCGCACCCATCAGAGCCTTTTCAAAAGATAGCTGAGGCAACTTTTTTACACGTTTAAAGGAAGTTGGTGTGTGTAGAATTGCCATTGTGCCGAATATCAGGGGAATATTGAACTAAAATGCAAATTCTCGTCTGGACACAGAATGTCCCAGATGTCTTAGGGTCTTTTTTTGAAAAGGAGTGAAAAGCAGTTTAGTCAGACCCACGGTATTCAGTCATAATGGCTACAGAAATAAAAAGTCACTGACTTTTATTTTTGCAAACAGCAATCTAAATAAGCATTGCAAACTATAAACTCAATTAAATAATACGATCGACCCCCAACTCAATTGACGAGTGGTACAAACTGGGTGTATACGAATTTACGCAGCACCTGGTTATAGAAAATTATTGCAATGGCATGAACGTATCTTTTCAAAGACGGATCGGAAAAATTTTAAAAGGGACTGGCAAATCTCAAGATAAACAATTCACAGAAATGCTTCCACGCAATCTTCCCTGTAACCTCTTTTATTTTTTGTATTTTCTCGTCACCACTCGTGTTTCTAATGGTATGTCTAATGTTTGATGGCAAACAGTGGTCGTGATGACAACGGCTGGTCGCGTTAACACGCTGGCTGTGACACTGACACTATACATTAGACACCTGGTTGTACGAGTAGCTAACGAAGCAATGGCAAGTTTATGAAATTATGAAGCTTGCCTCTAAACTATGTCATAGCACTTAAACTTTCCCAGAGTGTGGAAGCCAAACCACGAGTATGTATCACTAATATCTCCAAACCTAAGTTGTTTAACAGGAAGCTTGGTCTTATCAGTGAGGAGAACGCTGTCTTCATTCCACTCATGGTCGTTTTTATCACAGTTACAACCATAGCTGGGGCTTGCACATGAGTTAGTCATTCCGCATGCGCATTTATCTGTGGCAGATGCTCCGCCCCAGTACCTCATCTTTTGAGAGACAAGTGACACCCACCATCCATATAGACCGCCGTTGTAGAGCAACCTCGAATGATGACACTCATATTTGATAAACTGTTCACAGTGTAAAGAGACTCTGGTGAGACTTGCCAGCTGAGAGAGACTAGCTCCCGTGTAATGAATGTCACGCGAGTAACTACCTTGAGCGCCATAACCACTGACCTGACGCACATATGTTCTGCTTTCACTGTTGTGACTGATCACTGTTACGCCGACTCCACTCTTGTCAGTCAGGTCACAGAAAGCTGTAAAAGGTGCCAGACCTCCTTCACCATCTGGATCTATGATGTAATTACCACTTTTACTACTGATGTATTTCTTTGTCATCGAACAGGAAGGGGCTGCAACTGGTGCATTGATTTTCACATCAGCTTCTATTGTCGTCAGGGCGTTAGTCGCCCTACAGGTGTAAGATCCCTTGTGTGATTTCTTGATGTTGGGGAGAATCAGTGTACCATTCTGCCATACGTCAGAGTCCACAGGAAGTGAAGGTTTGCCGTCCTTTGTCCATGTAATTGAAGGTTTGAGATCACTTTCAGCTAAACACGGCAGAGGGACTGTAGCGAAACCTATCATTGGGGTCAATGCTTGGGGAGGACGAACTTTGAACCGTAGTGGAGAAAATATTGTCAGTTGACTCACTCACGCCGTATCTGTTTTTGACCCCATAATATTCTTTGCGTTACACAGATATGTTCCACCGTCTGTTTTTGCCACATTGTAAATCTTCAGGGTACTATTAACCACCTCAGCTCTGTCTTTTGGCAAACTTCCGAATGATTTAGACCACGTGATTCTCGGTTGCGGCTGACCGCTAGCAGTGCAGGCGATGGTGACGTTTTGTTTCTCTTCCGCAATTAATCTCTTCGACGACAAGAAAGCTTTGGGAGCATCTAAAAGGAAAACATAAAAATCTGTGTACACTTCAATAGACATTCAGTATTAAATATGTGATCGCAAGATTTGGTTTGAAGCTGCTCTGACACTGCTGCAGGCTCCAATTGCTCAAAAGATGGATAGCACTATCCACTGGATAAATCACTATCCAAAGGATAGCGCAATTGGTTTTCGTATTACGTATCCGCTGGATAGCGATTTATCCGGTGGATAGCGCTATCCAACTTTTGAACAACCGGGGCCTGGGGCTCGTTTCTCAAAAGTCCCGGTAACTTTTCGGGCCCGAAATCAAATATTCAAATCGAAATATAAAGAATAAGAGCGCGGGTCCTGGCCAGCAAACTACTCCATTTTGTTTCACTAACTGATAGTTTTATCATGCTAGATGCAAAACTATCGAAACCTCGATCTTTAATGTAAACGGGGACAGCTTACCGGGCCCGTTAATTATCGGGACTTTCGAGAAACGGGCCTCTGGGCTTTAGGCCTTCCCCCTTAAATTGTATGCTCGCTAATTGCCCTTTTAATCCACAGTGCTTTTTTATGTACGGCATTCCGAAGCGTTCGTTATTGAGTAATACGTATGCAACAAAAGAAAGAACCAAGACTCGAAGTCGTGATGATCAGGCGTCTAGTGGTAATGCTGAATCACGCTATCGCCAAGCGGCCCCTGCGGAATACGATTTTCCTGTTTTCCTGCAGTAAGTGAGGCGCGCCTAAAAAGTTTATTAACATCTAGAAATGTGTAAGAAGAGCTCAAAAACTTGATTTAAAATAAACAAAACTCACACTGAACAATTAGTTTCGCTGTAGCGTTGACGCTTCCCAGCAAATTTTTAGCCCTGCAGTTGTAAAATCCTTCGTCTCCAGGTCTAACGTCATTCACAATCAGAGCACCACTGGACTCTACCACATGACGTCCCACTGGAAGAGATGAGTTCTGCTTAGACCACGTGACATGTGCAGGTGGATTACTGTCCACTGTACATTTGAAGATGGCTGTCTGACTTTCATTGACGGTCGTTTCAACAGGAGGCTGCAGCAGAGAAGGAGCAGAGATAGACTTACCCGGCTCACCTTTAACACCTTTTTCTCCCGGAGGCCCGACAGGTCCCGCGGGACCCTGGTAACCCGGCAGTCCTAGATCACCTTTCATGCCCATTGCTCCTCGAGGCCCTAGGGGCCCATGTTTTCCAGGAGGTCCTTCTGGACCGGGTCTTCCCCGAGCTCCAGGTCTTCCCCGTCGTCCTCTGCTCCCTTTTGGTCCTGATCAGCAGAGCGTTTCGTCTTTAGCACAGACTTGTTTCTGCAGCAGTCGAAGTTCTTCCTTGATCAGCAGTTTTACATCAGCGGCCGTTTGGACTGACTTTTGCAGCGAATTAGTTGGTGACGAACGCTTCTGTCTTGAGATGTTCTCATGAACACCTTGAAAACACAAATGTATAGATACTCCTTTTCAATAATTCACAGTCTTGTTAGCACTCTAGATCTCGAACCCTTGAAAGCATGTCACGGAAAAGAAATCCCTTGGCAGGAGCAGGAACCCATATTCCTGGCCGGAGTAAATAAGGAAAGAATTGGAGGAGGTATCACCCTACTTTCCCCCCTCCCCCTCCCAACAAAAATAAACTTTTATGTCCCCCGTCCGTTATTTATAAGATTTAAAGAATTAAAAAAAATATTATTGTGGGGCTTGCACAGTTAGTCCAATGTCAGACAGGGGCTATGTCACCCCACACGCATGCTCGAGCCAATGAAAACAAACTTGAAAAAGTCGGCCCATCTTTTTCAAGTTCTGTCGGAGATTTTGGAAGGCTGTTTTTATCTGTCTAAATCTCAGCCATCGTTCGATAGTTAGCGAAGTTTTGTATTAAGAATCGTTCTATGGTGATTACAGAATAATTTTTTGGCGTTATTTTGAAATTGTTTGCCTGTGGAATGTTTTTACGTGGATTTACTGTGTCCTCTTATCAGCGGCCGTTGTAATGGCAGAGTTAATGACGGCTACTCCACAATGAGTGATGGAATCTTTGATGGAATCTTCCCTATAGTTCACAGAACCTTTCTATTGAGTTATTTTAGAGGTTGCTGGCTCTTGGATTTTTCTTGTGCTCAAAGTATGTGGACATATAATGAAGCGGCTATCGAGTTGGCGGCGGCCGTTTTTGGTAAACGATTACAAGAGCATCAGGCCATGAGTTTCGTGACCAAACTAAACTCCTGGCGAAGGAAACATTATAAAATTCGGCTAGATTCCTTCTTGTATTTATCTGGATTCACGGCAAAGATAAACACGACCGTTTGCTCGTTCAGATTGTTCTCAACGGACTTAGAGAGGCACCTTAGTACGAGTTAGATCCTGTAAATGCCATGTTTTTGAACTGTTTGTGTTCGAGCATATTTTTGGAAAATAGCAGAGTTTACTTTCCCTTTTTATCAACGGACTGCTTATAGTGGAGTAGTATACCAATGATGCTTGGTTCTGTTTTTCTCGACGTCGCAGTGATTCGGCACGATCGAACAATTTTGCGCGATAATATATGTTTCCCTAAGATCAAAACAAAGACTTGATGTCCGACTTGTTCTATCAGCATCTAAATTATAAAATCACTAGCGACAGACAAGTCTAATTGTTAATGATTTGAAACAGTCTTGGCCTTTATCTTCGGTCTAGCGTCTTTTGTAGCTCGTTTGTAAAATACAACTTCGATTTATTTTGTTGAATAAGACAATATGTTGTGTTGAATTTTTGTTTGCGCACTATTTTATGAATGGCATGCGTTTTTACTCCAAAACTACAAGTAAAATTGTCGTCACAATTTTATTCTTGATCTAGCATAACCAGAGAAGAAACGTTTCGTAAATTCTATCGAAATATTCCTTATCTAAACCCATTTCGCTTGTTAACCTCTCTAAATTCGGAGCCTTGGACGTGACAGAGAACATGGAGAAAGTCACGCGTTAAAAAACAATAGAATTTTGACAGTTGGAAGTAATTTGTATAACCTCAGAGCGCACATGGAGAAAGTCACGCGGTTAAAAACCAATAGAATTTTGACAGTTGGAAGTAATTTGCATAACCTCAGAGCGCATGCTCTCCAGCTGACATAGCCCCTTTAAGAATGGAACTGACAGGCCATATTTTAATTACCCGGAAATCATCTTAATCTTGGCGCGGTGTCAACTAATATGCCTGTCAAGGAGGACAAAATGTTAAACCTAACTTTGGCAAGCAGCCATTTTTTAAGAAGAAACGATGGATCTTTCCACGATTGTTTTCAACTAGGTTAATGAAATACAGACTAACACGCATTTTTTATATCACTGAATATTTCCTATTTATGAGCTGTACTGCCAGACGCGATACCAGTCATATTGAGACACTTGTATCATCGTTAACTAATCTATTGGTTAGTTCGATCCCTGATCGGATAGGTACGTTGACGAGACAAGGGGCGATGGTGAAGCTTTCGTCAATTTAGAACAGGTTTTTGTGCCATGCATTGAAACGTTTTTTAATTAGAAGTTCAGCTTTTACATTTTTCATTTCTTGGCACCCAACTAAAAAACACGTGCAATACAGATGAAAAAAATCCCCCATTCAAGATCTCACAGCGCGTTCAGTAGTGAGTAGTCTAGATAAGGGAGTCCTCCCCCCGGAGTTCGAAACTGATTCACTTTAGCTTGGGTCTCGTGCCAAGCACCGTCTGAGTTCCTGCCTTTATTTGTTTGCCATCTTTTGTAATTCTGTTGTACCTTCTGAAGGATTTCCTTCTCCATCTGGCCACAGAATGTTGCTGACTGCGATATCAGTCGATGATGTTCTTGAATTTTGAGTTCCACGTGAAAAAGTGCAATACAACACATAACAGACAACAGCAAAGCTGACAAGGAAAACAGACTGTTGAGTTTTGTTCTTGTGTTTGTCGTCTCTTCTTTGCTTTTTGCTTTCATCGTTCCAATCCAATCGTAAAAATAGATATCCTCAAACTGTTTCTGAATCTTTTGAGCTTGCTAATATAAGGATGCGCACAGAGTGGAAATATTTTGTAGCGTCTGATGCAGACGAAACAAAGTTGAATGCTTGATACATACGAAACGAGAGCGTCCGTGACCAGAGATTGTTATCATCACGTGACTTAAAGTTAAAAATATATACCAAAGGAACTACTGTAAGTGCTTTCTGATTTCTGGTGTATCTGTGTGTTGGTTGTCTATCTGGTCCCGTCTTATATGAAAGAAAAAGGGTTTTTGCTTGGTAAAAGGGTCACCCTTCCACCTGAGCTACCCATCGATGCAGCAATTTTTCGTTATTATCCTTTTGCGAACTTAAAGATGTCTCCCCTCGGTGGAGAACTAATATAAGAGAACTAACTACACCCTGCGCTCACCTTTCTCAGCGGATTCTTTCGTCACGCAAAACCCCTTTCAGCTGCGCGCGGCCCTGACACGGAAAACGAGAGTTGCGAGACAACTTTTTTTCTAGACTAAGAAAATGTGAAAAGAGATGTCGGATGTAGGAGCTAGCCTGGTTTGACATACGACGGCAATCACAGAGGGTGGAGATCTATCAAGAAAGAATTCGAAGGAATTCGATCAAAATTAACTAGTTTGAACTGAATATTTATCATCATATATCACCTGGCTACAATTATTGTGGTTTGAGATTTAGTATCGGCTAGGCTGGTCTGAATATTGAATTTTCACCTATTGCAAATGTTCTGGAGCTTATTGAACTACATTAAATAAATTTTTCTTATACAAGTAGCTTGCAAAATGGCAAATGGTCATGAACGCTGCAAAAAGCTGAAATAGCATTGGCTCGCCCCATGTTCGGGAATCCGGGAAATCTTTGCTAGTGGAATCCGGAATCCAATTTACACTGGCATGGAATCCGGAATCCAGTGGCTGTTGTCCGCAGTCCACAGTGAGGAATGCAGGCTCCAATGTCTTGAATTACCTTACATGGGGCGGGCGAATTGGCAATGAGCCACTTACTCTTCTTGCATTTTCTTATTAAAAGTTTACAGTGTATTCCACCGGATAAGTTATTATTATTATTTTCTGCTTTGCTCCACAGAGTAACTATCAGTTTCCAGTTCAACGACACTTAAACTTGCCCAAGGTATGATACCCTATTTCTTCCTGACTTCCAGTATCACCAAACCTCAGCTGTTTAACCGGTAGATGTGTTTTGTCAGTGAGGAGACCGCTGTCTTCACGCCATACATAGTCATTTTTATCGCAGTTACAGCCATATCGTGGATCTGCACATGTCTGGTTCGCCCCGCATGCGCACTCATTACTTCCTGGCTTAGCTCCGCCCCAGTAGGTCATGTTAGTGGAATCACGTGACACCCACCAAGCAGTTGATTCTTTAAGCATCAAAGAATGGTGACACTCATACTTGATAAACTGCTCACAGTGAGATGAGACATTAGTGAGACTCGCCAGCTGAGACAGACTCGCTCCTGTGTAATGGATGTCACGTGAGTAGCTGCCCGGATCTTCATAATCATTCACCAATGTCCTGTTTTCACTGTCGTGACTGATGATTGTCACGCCAACACCATTCTCGTCGGTCATGTCACAGTAAACTGTAAATGGAGACAGAGCCTTCTCACCGTCTGGGTCGATTACATATCTACCGCTCAAAGCTTTTGGGTTAGAATTCTTGAAATCTGCGCATGACTTTGGAAAGATCACTCTTGAAAATCCTGCTGAATGATTGACAAAAAAATTTTACATTAGCATCCATTCCCCAAGCTGAACAGAGAATCGCTAATGGGGTATGATGGAGAAGACTGACAAATGGGAAGGAAATATATATAAAGATGAAGGAAAGACGCTTGGCGTTTTCTCTCCTTGCAATCATTCCTTTCGCCCCCTCTTTCATTACAGTGTTAATAGTTAAATCTTGACACTTGGAAGAAGATTGCAAATTACAATGTTTCTGAAAACAAAAGATTCTCAGTTATTTTTTTTTGGCAAACGGACCAATAACATTCATCATTTTGACGGCTCGGTTTCCTAAGAGGTTTTAAAGTATTTAACAGCTAAAAAATTTTAATCTAGCGTCTCGATGTCTTTATTAGCATTATTATCAAATAGTTTATAAAATTAAGAGGAAAAATTCTGTTATTTCATTCATCTTCGGAAAAAATATTTATTTTAAAAAATTCAATATTTGCGACGTTTGTCATTTCAGGATGTTTACTAAGATTAATGGTTTCAACCCTCTTCAATTTGGAAATTGGGACTGAAAACAGTTTTTTTTCTCCAAAGTCAAAATCCGGTTCAAATAGACCTTGTCACGGTTTTCGACGCTATTTTGACGAGTGGGTAAACGCGTGAGAAATTGCAGTGTTTGTATGAGAATCTAATTTCGAATAATTTCCGTAGAACGGCTGTTCTGAAAATTATACTTCTACATGAGAAATTTGGCTTAGAGCAGTAGTATTTCAGCTTAATATGAAATACCTACATGTGAAAATTACAACCCTTTTGTGGGTAGTAGTATAAACAAATAATAGCATGATTTGTACGTGATATTTAACATAAATAACACTCGTGATATTTCAAAATTGTCTCAAATTTCACTCGCCTAGCGGCTCGTGAAATTACGTCTAACAATTTCGAAATATCGCTCGTGGTATTTATGCCAAATATCACTACAAATCATGCTATTACCTATACAAATATGATTTGTAAACCAAAGCTTCACTCCTGAGGATTCTACTGAAAAAAACAGCCGTTGTACGGAAGTTATTCGACATTAGATTCTCTTACAAACACTGTAATGTATCGGTCAAATCGAAGCTTCAACATGCCCCCCCCCCCGGGCATACCCAGGGCATTTGACACCTTTGCGGTCCCGGGGAGGAGGGAATTCGATTATCAGAGTCTTCCAAGGGGTGGGGAATTTGATCCCCATACTTCAGGGGTGGGGGATTTGAACTGCACCCTCGATTTCATGTAAAATCTTTGGCGTGGCGAGCTATCATGGGAGACACGGTGTTAGAGGATTTTCGTGGAAAAGATTGTGCCTTTGTGGCCAGTTGGTTACGAGGAAAGGGCTTAAGTGCCATTGTCTGAGAAAACCGGGCAGAGGCCACGGATCGAGGTCAACCGATTCCCTTCATCTTTCGGCTGTTTTCAACCTTCATTGAGACAGGATGAATGGCAGTATTCTTAAACTTCATCAGCTTTTAGTTTCCGAGATCAGACCACCCCCCCT